CCCCCCCCCGGGGCCCCGGGGCCCCGGGGGGCCCCCCGCCGGCCAGGCCTGCGGGTGCTGTGCCACCGCCTGGCTCCTCAACCCTCTGCCCATGGCGGTCTCCAGCCGGGGCAACGCGGAGGCCCTGGTCGCGCTGCTGGTGCTCGCCAGCCTGTACTTCGTGGAGGGGGGGAGCGTGGGGAAGGCCGCCATCTGCTACGGGCTGGCTGTGCACGTGAAAATATACCCGCTGACCTACGCGCTGCCCATCGCGCTCCACCTGCAGAGCGGGCGGTGTGGTGGGCCAGGGGCAGCGGACACGGGGAGTGACAAAAAAGCTGCCTTGACTGTGGCGTTTTATCACCTCTACGGCTGGGAGTTTTTGGAGCATGCCTACCTCTACCACCTGACCAGGAGGGATATCCGTCATAACTTCTCTCCCTATTTCTACATGTTGTACCTAACCGCAGAGAGCAAATGGAGTTTTGCCCTTGGCCTCGCAGCTTTCCTGCCCCAGCTGCTTTTGCTCCTGCTTGTATCCGTAGCATTTTACAGAGACCTCTACTTCTGTTGTTTCCTACACACTGCTATTTTTGTGAGTTTTAACAAAGTATGCACATCCCAGTACTTTGTCTGGTACCTCTGCCTTTTGCCCATCGTAATGCCTAGCATTAAGATGTCCTGGTGTCGTGGCGTGCTGCTTCTCTTTCTGTGGTTTGTTGGACAAGGCCTGTGGCTCGCTCCTGCGTACTTTCTGGAGTTCAAAGGATATAACACTTTTTTGCTTATATGGCTGGCAGGCTTGCTTTTCCTTTTTATTAATAGCCTCATAATTGTTCAGATTATTTCACATTATCAAAAAGAAGCACAAGTTGCAAAAAACCTCAAACAACAGTAATAAGCAGGCCAAAATCCAGAAATAGCACTACTGTCTTTAACAAGGCTTTTCATACCACCAGCACTTTGTTTGATATAAATGCGTGCACATTGTACTAAAGCATATATGTAAATGATACTTTGTCAGGGCTGTGAGGGCACTGATTGGTCTTAATTGCCCTGAGCCACCCCAGTCCTGCCCTGAGCAGCGCCTGCAGATGTACCTGTCTCCCACGTGGACCTTGAAGCTGCATTGTAACCTTCTTTCCAGCACTGTCTCCAGCCCTTACTCCTGCTGCTCCCGATGGGACTCCCTGGAAGGACCCTGGACCAGTTAATCACTTGCCGCGTTTGGGGCTATGATGGATCAGCACCCAGCTCTGCCTGCCATCTCCAGAGTGTGACTGTGCCCTGGTCAGTGAGGGTATGGCCTGTGCCAGGGTCACCCTCCGCTCCCGCTCGTACCGCCGCGTGGAGCAGCCCCAGTCTTCTTACTCCCTGACACCCTTTTTTGTCATTGTTACTTTCCTCTGTCCTTTACTTGTTGAGGACTGTGGCCTCTGTCTGGGAAAACACAGGGGATTATGAAAGGATGCTGGAGTTTGACAGTCTTTTACATTCCAGTAAGTGGGTGGGCTCTTTTGCAAGGGTTAAGCTGATGAATAAATATAAGGCAATCACTTAATATGTACAGTGTGATTTATTTTTTCTTTTCTTTTCACCGTAACATTTTAGCTGTACAGTGTTTGTGGCCTGTACCTTGTCTTTCTTCAGCGGAGCAGGAAAAAAGTGGTTATTTCATATGAGTCATTAACTCCTTGAAACTTTTAATTTATTTTAGAATTCAGATATGCCCACTCATTCAGATACTTATTTTTGCCTTTTCAGTGCTGTTTGAATTTTTGAACAGATTTATTCCCCTTGCCATGGAGGATTTTTTTTTCCAAATACCTCTCTTGGATCACAGAGATACATAAAGCAAAAATATTTGTGTTCTTTGCTGCCACGATCGAGAAAAGAGGCCACTGCTTTAAACGGCCGTTAATTAACAGTTATTGTGGATATTGACAGTAGCAAATGCAAAGAGTCAAAGTACAGCTAGAAAGGCACCTGTGTCCCAAAAGCACTAGTGTTTATACCAAAAAGTAACTGGAAATGTAGTTTCTCAGTAGTTCAGTATCTCTACTATTAAAAATAAATGAAAAAGAAAGTGAAAAGAGTTGAGGAAGTGGAGCAGTTGCCAGAAGAAAAGAAAAGTTTCAAAATAGGAAGCTCTACAACCTGTTAAAACTAGGTATTTATTCCCAGATGAGACACGAGATGTGGAATTGAGTGTCAAGTGGTAGCGAGAGGAGTTCAGAGCCATTTTGGAGGCAATACTCTCCTCAAGAACATCCTACGAGAGGTCTGGTGTACCAGCCCTTGACACAGGCAGAAACTGGTGATGTATTTTTTTAATAAAATCTTGAGTTTATATAGGTATATGCCAAATTAAAGAATTTTCTTATGTGCCTCAGCTTTTAGTTACATCCGACGGGAAAGTGAAACCCTTAGTGTGTAACGTGGAGCAGAGCTTCAAGGCAAAATAACTTCAACCACTCAGTGGGATTCCCAGTCTTGTCAGTGGGATTCCCAGTGTTGTCAGTGGGAAAGGATGTGGCCAAGCGGGTTTGCCTTCCAGGTTCCTGCTTGCCATGCTGCTTCTCTCAATCCTGCGGCCTCCCAAGGCAGCCCTCTTCCCCAGGACTGTAGTGGCTCCCAGCTTTTTTGTATGTGCTATGGGCATGTGAAGAGAAAGTGTCCCATGTGGCTTTATTTTCTGAGGTAGTTTGACATGCCCGGTTAGTGTTTTCACCGGACTGAAGAGGCTCTTCTGTGCCGATACCTCTATTCACCCCATCCCAACGTGCAGGCGATATAGCTCATTTTTCCTTGCAACTGGTCTTCTATTACCTGTTCTGCATTTTTCTGTTGCAAATAACATGTTTTCTTCCCCCAAAGCAATATTTTGTATCTCTAACAGACCTGATTATGCTGTTTACAGACCTTTCCACTCCCCTATTTTTTCCCTCCTGTTGGCAAAGAAAGCAAATGAAAGCCAAGAGGTATTACCAGCTTCAAAAACCTTTAAAAAAACGTGGCATTTTGAGTTACTGTGTTCATGACAGAATTGTAATGTTGTTTTTTAGGTAAGAAGTAATTTCCTTATGACAAATACATTCTCGATTCATTAATAGCTAAGTCGTTTTGAGACCTTCAGAAGGCAAGTTCTGCAGCAACAGGGACTGAAGAGTACCCTCCCTTTGCAGGTCAGTGCCAGCCCTTCAGCGACGATTTGAGAAAGTCGTGCATAAATAAGTTATAAAAAGGCTTTTATACAAACTTAGATTTACAGTCATCAATTTAATAATCCAGTATGAGTCCCTCTTTTTACAGTTGTTTTGTAAGTAAGCTAGTCACCCAAATGTGTTTGGGATTTAGAAATAATTCAGTGACTCATAAAAAGCTGGATGGGAGAAATGAACTGAAAGAGGCGAACAGGAGAGGTATTTGAGAGTTTAGATCTTGCAAATCGCTTTAGATAGTTAAATGGAATTGAATAACTTTATTCACTGATAAAAGGCATTAAATCAAAATAATAGTAGCTGAGTGCAGACCAAGTTATAATTCATGAACAAGTCATGGTGATTAATTATAATGCCCTTAAAATTTACCAAATTCATTTCCTATGGAACATTTATTGCTTTTGATGGTGTTCAAATTCTTTTGCTTAATAATTTTATGTCAATTTATCTTCTGGTAATTAGGAACTGAAGTGTCTGAATGCTAGCTTTCATTCCCTACCACGGGTAGCAAAATTGTAATGCTGTTTATTTTTAAAAACAAATGTTGAAGTGCCCAATGCAAGGTGTCTCATTTGCACAAATATTTTTTACATTGCACTGAAACTAGCCCTGAAGTGCAAAGTGCGAGAAGTGAAAGACAAAGTGAAAAGAAGAAAAGAAATATCAAGACAAATAACATTTTTGCCTCACTTTTTACACCGTAGCCTATAGTCCATAGGCTCATGGCTGGATTTGCAGGTGTCTTTAGTCAAAGCTTCAGCATTTAACAGTGTTGTGGTTTAACCCCAGCTGGCAACTAAGCACCACACAGCCGCTCGCTCACTCCCCCCACCCCAGTGGGATGGGGGAGAGAATTGGAAGGGTGAAAGTCAGAAAACTCATGGGTTGAGATAAGAACAGTTTAATAATTGAAGTAAAATGAAATAGAATGGTAGTAGTAGTAGTAATAATATAATACAATAATAATATACAAAGCAAGTGATACACGACACAGTTGCTCACCACCCACTGACCGATGCCCAGCCCATTCCCGAGCAGCAACCACTGCCCCCCAGCCAACTCGACCCAGTTTATATACTGGTCATGACGTCATACGGTATGGCATAGCCCTTTGGCCCGTCTGGGTCAGCTGTCCTGGCTGTGCCCCCTCCCAGCTTCTTGTGCACCAGGCAGAGCACGGGAAGCTGAAAAGTCCTTGACTGGTGTAAGCACTACTTAGCAACAACTAAAACATCAGTGTGTTATCAACATTATTCTCATACTAAATCCAAAACACAGCACTATACCATTCCTATACAAGGAAGAAAATTAACTCTCTCCCAGCTGAAACCAGGACAAACAGTGATTTGGTGTAAAATTTATAAATGGAATTACTCAAATAACAAGGTAAACAAAAATATAATAATAAATGTTTCGTTAAGTTTATTTTGCCATCTCTGACACAATAACCATGTACTTGGTCCTTGCTAAGTAACTGCCCTGTCTGTGTTACTAGCATTGTATTGACTCCTGCGATAGTAAAGGCAGCAATTATGTGCTCTAAACTGAGCTCATCAGTTTTCTTTTTCAAAGAAACCTTGAAGCTTTTATATTTAACAGCAAGAGGAAGCTCCGACTTTTTTAACATTTACTGTTAAAAGACAGTAAATTATGAGCAAATTGTTTCCTTTTTTTAGCTGAGAAGAATGAGGCATCTATTTTAAAAGGGCTGCAGAAATACATAGTGAACACGTGGAACTCAAAAAGTATATTCTTCATATATTTCCCAAAGACAGCTGCAGAATGCATATCCTAATGATAGCAGCATTATGGAATAGGATTATCGTGAATTTAGGACAGATCCTTTACTCAGACTGAAACCCAACTGCTCCTGCAGCTTTCTTGCTTAAGGGAATATTTATGTGCACCATATGCACAAACCTAAACATTTACCTGCACATACAGAAGCAAAAAGAAAATTCCCAGTCAGGACACCTTTGAACAACATGATTTTTTGGAGCTGCCCTCTGTAAAACAGGTTTCTTAAATGTTTCTTATATTCAGCAGTCAAAATCTCTAAAACGTGAATCACATAAATTTTGATGCATATGGAAAGTAACAGCATATGCAGCAGGGATCTTGAGTTGTAATAGACACATTCAAGAACCAACTAATTCTGACTGTATTTGAAGGTGCACGTTCCACCAGTATCCCGATACTCTTCATTACAACAATCTGCATTGGTGACATCATTTGTGTAGCAGCCTTGCTTCAGTCTTTATACATGATGAATGAGGTCAGAGACCTACATTTTGTATTAGTAACAGTATCAGAAAGTTAAAAATTTCTCTTGATGAAGCAGTACCAATGTTATTTTTTTTTTTTTAATTACATTACTTTTCTGTAAGGACCTTAATAAATCCATGCAATAAATCAATGCGATCCATGCATTTTTTAATGACTTTTAAATCTCTTTTTCATTGGACAATGTCCAGTATATTCAAAGAAGACCAAAATTTATCGGTTTTTAATGGTGTAAGTCAACAGTATCTTGTTTCAGCAGAATTCCTCCTGACTCTCCTTTCTGGCATATGCTGAGGCAGGCATGGGCTTCTGCAGAAACAAGAGGTTGCTTATTGGAGGCAATGTGACTTAATGCGTAGATAAAGCTTTAGCTCCAGACTCTTATTCTTAGAGC